TGCTCAAGAATATGAGTCTGGAGCACAATGTGAGGCCGATCGGAATACAACTCACTCCAATACCGCCATGATATCCCATAAATCTAATAAAGCATGCGGATGGTATCCAGCCTTAGAGTAACTATGTTAACCAGTTTCCTTTGACACCGTCCTCATGCTTACCTTGCTCATGAAATGGAGACCCACTGCATCCGCTTCCATCTCAAGTTTCCTCGAGTAAGCCTTTTCGGCCACCGTATCATGAATCAAATTGAGAACGGAAGCGGCGGCATCCGTAACGCTACGATGTTTATGTAAGATGACGGCTTAGCTGAAAGCGTATCACTCACATTGGGAAAGACATGGTAAATGCGAAAGAGATGCCTCTCAAGCAATCAAAGGCTATTGCTGCAAGGTTCAGGAACTGTATCCAGGGTTTCTGTAAGTCGGCGTAAAGGGAAGAAATGCTATGAGAGGGTGCTTACACCTGCCTGCGAGGTAGGTTGGAGAGCGATCAGTCCTTTGCTGATGCAAAACGAAGGCAGAATCAACTCACGTTCTCTACAGCATGCCGTTGCGTCTGGGGACGGGGAAGACAGAATTCAGATACAACTATGGGGATTCAAGGGGTAAAGGTACCCACGACGTGAGCCACCTCGTGTGCTATGACGCCAGATAGAAGTGCATCGTTGTCCAATAGGTCGACAAGTCCAGTGTAAACAAAGATCTCCCTTGTCGGCAACGCGAATGCATTGACTTTGGGCTGCAATGAAGGACATACACGGTATCAATAATATTGAAAACAAGCTTTTATTGACCAGGGCGTGAGACCTACCAAATCAATTACATATACCTTCCAGTCTTCCTCGGCGAATACCTTCATCGGATTGCTCGATTCGAGCCGATATGGCAGATGCTGACTCTTGGCGATCGCGCTGGGCGAGTAATCTTCAGGTTTCTTCACATCATGTCGAAGATCACGGCGCTGGAAGAAGTTCTCGTCATCGTCCTTGAAGAAGATCTCGAAGAAGGATGACGAGAGCGTATTGGGCCAGCTTGCGGATGATACAATATGCGTAGATTCTAGGCTGTCTCCCAATGCAGCGATGAGTTTCTCCGTTACTCTCAAAACCTAAGTGGGCGTCTTGATCAGCTGGGAGTTCGATGTTTGCCTGACCTTTCGCCGACAGTTTCTCACCTGTTTGACTCGTGGATCATCGGGAGGGAGTATCAGAGGACCTTCTTCCGCGAGATGACTTCGTAGGCTAGTTTGATCGGCAAAAACATTCAGCTATTCAACGCTTTGGTCCCAACGATCTCTAATGAACATACCGATGCTTTGACCTAACCAGTCACGTATCACATGTCAATACACCAATAAAACCAAGAGTCAAACCGTCCGCCACCCACCACTCGGACTCTTCTTGATTGGACATCATAAGCAACCGCCATCGAGACGTGGTAGGCGCCTGGTCAGCTGCGAGCGCGATGACGAGACAAATGGCAAAGATCTTGAAGGCAAAACAAGGCAAACATCAATTCGTTTCTTTCTAAATCAACGACGTCCTCCTTGCTCACGGGTATTTGTAAGAGTGCCAAGCTGAATTTTGGCCACTTCTTCCACAACTTGTACCTATATATAGCAACCAACGCCACAAGGATTAGCGGGTCTTCGAGCCGGGTGAAGCACAAAAAGCCGAGTAGAGGCGCACCGATATACAAAGGGAAGGATCAACAATGTGATCCTTGATATATCTAGCAAGCCGGCTTTCAATGCCGGAAAGGCCACGAAGAAGACGTCCCTCCTCGCGGCACTTGTTCGAAATGTGGCCCGTTGATGACAGAGAAGAGAAACAAGCGGTGATGGCAGTGTCCTCCTCGATATGGAAGTAGTAGTAGCATATGATGACGGGCCTAGCCCTCGACTAGGCCGTATTATCGAGCCGCATAGAACAACATTCGCAGATGTCAACGAAGTGGAAGGGGAAAGCACAGAAGAAGTTGCTACCCGACGCCGAGCTAGCCGGAGTATTGGCTGGACGTTCAGAGTCCGCCAGCATGACTTGATCATCCTGGAGATGGTGGGGCTGTCGAAAAAGGTCAGGGTGGGACAAACGGTGCCGAAGAGTGTGTGAAGAGGTTACGTTTTCCTTCTTCCTCCAAAGACTGCCAGCTCAATGCTTTCACATCGGGAATTGAATGGGCCATGTTTCATATTGGACGACGTAGTACAGCGCTGTATAAACCAGTGATCCAGAGATATGTATATACAAAGCGAAAGAAGAAAAGGAGAGACGGAGGCAGAGAGTGAACGGAATTTCCCATAAAGCTAGAGAAGTTAGATATAACAAATCAAAATCAGAAAAAAAAAATGGCCCGGGCCTTATACAAACAAGGTAGGCTCGCCATCCATCGGGGGAAAAGTAATAGATGAAAGCAAGTAAAAATGATGTACTAAATGAAGACAAGGGCGGAAGCGGAAGCGATAAATGTTGCACGATGCTGGTATTCCTGACTGGATATCCCAACAGAGAAGAATGTCCCAGAGAGTGGAAAGGGCGGTCGTAACAGATCAAAGAAGACCGCACTCGCGGAGATGCAGTTGTAATAGGATATCCTGGATCGCAGACAAGACGACTAAAAAGAGGAAGCAGATCAGAATTGCACAAAAGTAGATAGTCAATTCATTTGAGCTTACACTTGATCTGTTGCGTATCCGTCGCACACGTGTAATGGGCATAGATCTGCTTTGAGCCTGAGTTCTGGTTGAGCGAAACGAACCGATGCAATAGGTAGTCGCATGCGGAGTCGTAGTCATCGCCGCCGGTATAGTCGGGGAAGTAGTCACCCATGGGCGAGAAACGGAGTTTCTCTGCGAACAAATCGATTTTGTTGAGGAAGAGGATCTACAGTAGAAGGGTTGACAGTACCATACGTCAGATTGGGTATTTCTTAGAGACATCAAGGAAAGGACTCACGATGGAAGTCTTGACAAACCACCGAGAGTTACAGATCGAGTCGAAGAGCGTCAACGCTTCTTGCATACGATTCTATGTCAACACCAACGTTAGGTGGGGCTCGACTCGTCAAGGACGTGCGGAACACATACCACACTCTCGTCCTCGTACAGCATCTGATCGTATTCACTGAGCGAGACCAAGAACACCAATGCTGTGACGTTCTCGAAGCAGTGAATCCACTTTTTCCGTTCGCTACGCTGCCCTCCAACATCGAAGATCTTGTACGTCAATTCGCCGATCTGGAAGGAGGTCTCGGTGATACCGGTCGTCTTGACACGCGACCGTAGGATATCCTGATCGGTGGGTAAATAGCCAGGAGCGCCGATACGGTCTAGGGAGTTGAAGTAGCTGGATAACAAAACGAGTACGTAAGTCTTGTCTCTCTCGAAAAAACGAGAGAAGTGAGACGCACTATGTCGCCGAGTCGTTCAACTGGAACTCTCTACTTCTTCGAACGGCTTCCCTGACACCGTCGTCGTTCCACAGTCCACGGACGGCGTCACTCACATCCCTCGGTAACGAGTCCGCCTCGATCTGACCGGGAAGCGCCATAACCACCGCACGGCGTGCATCATTTTGAGGAGCGAGGCTGATGTCGAGGATCGGCATCGCCTCCAAGATAGCTCGCATAGATTGAATCGTATTTGAGAAGATGATTTCCTTGTACGACTCTCGTTCTTGATCGTTCCACCCGGAATGATGAATGAGCTTCATTTGCTTCAACACCGTCGACTATCGAGACCATGATCGTCGTTACAAGAGGAAAGGGTGTGAAGGTGGGACAGAGAAGGAATGGAACAGATGTTAGGGTCAGCGACGTAACGACGGCGGTGAGGGAAAATATGGCCAAAAACGCACCTTGCCAGACTCTCCAGCGCCGAGTAGCAACATCTTGATCTCATTCTTAGCATTCAGCTTATCGCGCTTGAGCTGAGACTCAATCTCGTCGTTGCCTGAGGGGCGGAAGCGCCGGTCACTAAGTAAAAAGCTAAAACGCTCGAGAATGAGTATGGATTACTTACGGGCCTTGGCCTCTTCGTCGACACCTGCAGACTGTGCGCAACCCATTATGATGAGAGTAAGAGAGAAGGGGTGATGGGTGGTGTGTAAAAAAAGGCAGCTGAAAAGAGTGAGAGGTGGTAGTCCGGATTGAGAGGGTCAGGAAAGGAGGCTGAGACTGAGAAACGCGCGAGAAATGGCTTTTCGTGGCTTGGGCTGTTATATGGACAAGAGACCGCTCAAAGTCGTCGTGCAACCTGCGTTACGCTGTCGGAGAGAGAGGTAGATAAGAGGAGGAGGTGGTGGAGTGAAAAAGGTCAGTTATTGAATAGAAAGGCAGATGAACCGTCAGCAAAGGGTCCGACCCGCGCTTCGCGATTTTTTAACCCGGCAGCGAGCCTTCCATGCGTTGCCGTTCTCGGGGGTTGAATCCGCTGCAGCCGGAGTGTCTATCCTGTATGCCGATCTCACACTACATGTCTCCCGCCCCTGTAACTGGCAGCGGAGACGATGCGCATCGACCACCCGTTGTTTGCAACTACCAGAACTCAATTGGAAACTGTCACGGGTACATCATGACGCAAAAAGTGCCCAAATCGGGCCACAGGCTTTCAACCGTTTAGGCCCAATCTGATTGTAATACCAAAAAAGGCAGGCGTTCTGAAACATATCCTGATATTATCACTCGTAGATCATCCATTCTAGACACATCGCTGCTAACGTCCATCAGGTTGCCAGACAGCAGGGTACCATCGGCGGAGACACCATTACCGAAAGAAAGCTGAATGGAAGTCTTCTTCCACGACTTCTTCCAACACAGGCCCGGACTCCCACACAAGGATCCATTTTTGCAAGTGTTTTGTCTTTTGAACCTGAAACCTGCAGTTTCCAGGGGGGATCGGGTGTACGTTTACGTTGAGGAGATTGAATTATCAGGGCCTCTGAACCTCTTCAGTTAAACCTTTAACATCTAATACTTAGCAGTTTAAACCCAAGTAATCAGGCAACGTGGCGGAGTGGTTAACGCGTCAGACTTGAATTCTTCAATTGTATCTGATCCCATATGGGTCGTAAGTTCGAATCTTGCCGTTGTCGGTTTTGCTCCGGTGCATCATTCTATTCGCTTACTTCTTTTGTTCGAGCCCTAATTGTCCTATATTCAGAGTTGTACGAGTATTTTCCAGCAGCATTAACCTGAAGATGTTCGTGAGACTGACCCCCGAAAAGAACCCTGTCAGCTTCGCTTGCTTTCCACCGTCTCATCCTGGAGGTTCGTTCGGCGGTTGCCGACAATAGGGCCGCGGATGGCTTAGAGCTCCACACTGGCTTTCTTGAGTGAGTCTGTCCATAAAGTACTTTGAGCCGAACTACAACTCGCTTTATACTGAGAAGCAGGCCAACAAAAGCCTGTAGGACTTCCTTTAACCGTGTCCTCAACAATCGCCACGCGACATGGACACCCCTGGTTCCTCTACGATCCCATACTATTGTCAATTAAACACGACATAAGGACATCAAATAGAGCGCGGTCAGTTGTGTGTCAAGTCGCAACCCTTGAAACGAATCTACCTCCATGTGTCACCCGTTACTGTATCCCCAAGACAAATCGGTACAAGAGTATAAATACGCCAGCGCATCTCGGGTAGCCTCTGGTAGATACCCATTTACACGACACTTAACTGATTCTTTTGCCTTTTGACTATACATTTTTTCGCGGCCTCTGACAAGTCATCTTCAATATACACCACACGCTCATTTTTATATTATACACATCTATTTCCTCTCTCTTCCTCTGTACATACTCTCTTGAACCGACATACCACCAACTTGGCACAAAACTCGAATAAATGTATAGCTTCTCAATCCTCTCGCTTGCGCTTGCAGCCCCGCTGTTTATTGAGGGTGTCCGGACACTCAGCACTACTTCTCACCCGACCAACCCGGGTTCGCATCACCAACTCGAGCGTCGAGGGCACAATGATGGCCCTTTCCCAGGCCGCGCCACGTGGTTCATACCTGGGCTAGGCGCCTGTGGTGGCGCCCGAGCCAACACAAGTAGCATGATTGTCGCGTTAAATGAGCATCAGTATGGGAACATGGACGCCGTATCCAAGCACCGTGGCAGGTCGATCAAGATAACCTACAAAGACAAGACTGTGATGGCCAAAGTGCAAGGTTGGTTTCCGCATCTGTGAAATTACTACCATTTGGGTTTCGTAGTAATTGATTGACCCTTTGCTACTCATGTAAAAATTATAGACGCGTGCCCGGGATGTCCCTTTGGTGCACTGGATATGTGAGTGTGTTTTCGGGTATCCCGAGGCTGAGATGAAATGAATGACGAGATGGGAAAACTCTGGCTTATCGCTTCGTCTGTCGCTAGGTCACCTGCGGTCTTTGACAAGTTGGCAGATCCGAGTGTTGGCGTGTTCCAGATGTCCTGGGAGTTTATGGACGGTGACAAAGACAGCCTCCCAACTGTCGGATCAACCAAGCACGTGGAAAAGAAGGAACCTCAAGGTCACTCGAAGTCGTCGGCTAAGAAGACCAAATCAAAGCACAAGCAAAAGCAAAAGCCGAGACCAAAGCCCAGCCCAAAGCCAAAGTGCCATGGTCGATGTCCCAAATCAAAGTCAGCCCCCTTGAATTTGACAGGCTACCGAGCGCAAAAAATTCGCTGCCGCTGACACGTGTATGCATGTTGACCATACAGGCCACCTCCTCAGAAGGAAGGAACGGTAAAGAGTCAGAAATGGGGGCAGAAACGCAGGCAACTGGAACGGGCCGAAGACTTCTTGACGAGCGCCAATGACGCGATAGAAGATCAAAGGAAGCCGACGTCACAGTCAGCGGCCGTAACGACTTGAGGAGCAGTGAAAGTTTGTCGCTAAGAGATGCGGGGACCCTGGGGTTGTTGGCCGGTGGATGGGGGAGCCGCTGCGATTACAGAGCTCGGATAGGCAGATCTCCTCGGATGATACAAATTCGAAGATAAAAGAACTGATTTGGTGCAGATACGAACGAAGGTTCATTGGTTAGCGCTGATGTGTGGCTTGTTGGGGTGGGTGTGCTGCCTAAGTGTGGTGTATTGTGCTCTAGACCCTTCTCCGGGAATGGGAGTTTGCGAGAGTTTGTCCGTGTGATGGAAAAATTGAACACGAGGCGACGTCAAGGACAATCACATTCCCCTGCCATTCTCTCCTCCCAGATACTCCCTCCTTAAGCTTTTAGTCCGCCTCCTACCCCGACCTCCTACTCCCCATTATTATAAACTACTTCCTCCTCAAACTTGCTATATCTAAACCAACGCATCTCATCTCTCAATCCTCCTGTATCCCCCCCTACCTCAACCACCTAGAACAATACCCTCACACGAGGACAACCACCACTAAGCCACCTATCTACTTCGTCATTATTACGTCGTTCCTATTACTCTGTACACACCCTGAGCTTTCTTCATGACAACGAACAACATGCAAGCTTCTCCATCCTCCTCTTCTGCATCGCTGGACGAACTCGCCGACATCGACACCACCCTCCGACAGCTCGACGCTGAAATGCGTCGGTTAGAGAGAAAGATGTTTAGCATCAAAGACCGATCACGACGGCTACGAGAGCGTCGTCGGTTGCTCACGCCATCTGCACCGTGGATCCTCCGCTTACCCGACGAGGTGCTGGCTCAATGCCTGCTTAGAGGCACACAAGCGATCGGTAACTCGCCTTCCGCTTCTACTCCGACATCCGTCCGGAGGGATCGTGTCAAGTTACCAATCGCCGTCTCTCAGGTCTGCAAACAGTGGCGCAACGCAGCGCTCAACCTGCCCACCTTATGGAATTACATTGATATGCGAGAAGGTCAGTCCTGCCTGTCCGTTGTAAACGTAACTGGTACGTATGCGTTGAGACTCATATGATTCATTATCTTCAAGGGCGGCCCTACGATCGAACCCTGGTGTGGTTAAAGCGGTCCCGCAATGCCGTGCTGGACATCGACTTGGACTACCGAGACCAGCTCACCAAGCCTGAGGCCTACTTCCAACGCAACTTCCTCATCACCTTGAACGTCATTCTGCCTACCATGGGTCGGTGGGGGAGCTTGTGTGTTAATGCGCCGACGGAGCTCGTCCAGACCGCCCTTCACGTATTCACGAGCCCAGCACCCATGCTACAGAGCCTCATACTCAAGGGATGGACGGACCCGGCGCAGCAGCAGCAGCCTGTGAGGGATATGCCGCCGACGATCTTCGCCAGTCAGACTCCCAAGCTCCGATACGTCTATCTTAGGGAGATGGGCTTGCGATGGGATACGTGCGTCTTTTCTGGGTTGAAGGAGTTGACGTTGTCAAGAGTGCCACACGAGCATGTGCCTAACGTGGCGCAATTCTCTCGCATGATGGAAGTGTCAGCACCAGGACTTCAGCGGTTAACAATCGTGGGAGCCGGACCGAGACCAATGCCGTCGAACAATACCCCCATGACTCCTCAGCACTCCAAAGGGAGGAACACAGGTTATCAGGTCACCCTGCCCAGGCTTTTGGAGTTGCGGCTGGAAGATCTGGAGGTCGGGGAGATCCGGACACTGGTGTCACTCCTAACGACTCCTGCACTGCGCAAGCTCGCATTGGCCAAGATCGATGATGACGATCACATGGAAGACATGGAAAGAGGTATCGCACCGAACACCGAATGGCAGCCTCAACAACTTCCGTACCTCACTGATCTCATCTACGTCGACGTTCCGGTCACATCCGACCTATTCCAGATCATATGTCGGGCTGGACCCAACATATCCCGTCTTCACATCCGTGGAGAAGCGACGAACGCGATCCTACAATACCTCACGCCCGAACCGCTATTGTTGATGCCCGGGGAAGAGGAGATGTTCTTGCCGCGGCTTTCGGCGTTGGAGATGGACGAGGCATCGGCGGAGACCGTCAGGGCCTTCATCGATGCCAGGACGACGACCTTGAGAGAGGTCAAGGGCTCGATATTGAATGAGAGGAGGATCAAGTCGAAAGGCGTGTTGTCTGGTGATGATGCCGTTAGACACTTGGGGTGGCAACGGAACAGCAACATCCACGTGGCGATACAACCAGCTCAACCCCTAGCGCAGTAATCCGACGACTCTGGAACGAGCCTCTTTATCCCCTCCCTTCCCCTCCCCCGATCTATGACAGAACGATTAATTACATCGGCTCTGGACTCGGCTCCGGAAGTCTCAACGCTCCTTTCTCTATAGGAAAGGGATTTTCTTTCCTGGCTCGAAAATGAACTTGGTTTGACGAATGTTATCTCTCACCTATCTTCACTTTATCGTATGTATCTTGAAGTGGCCCGACTGTGATTTTTCCTACTTCCCCTCCCCTGTAGTCAGAAGGTCTCCTGTTCTCCGCGTTTATAAAGTGATTTGTGTATTTTTCTTGGTGCGGGTGGCAAGCTTTGGGATTACCTCGTTACCCTCCATACTCCGCTCTTCCATGCATGGTGCTTAAGATCGTGAGCTACGGAGTTTATAAGACGTCACAAGGATTCTGATCTCTTACTATGCTACAAGGTCAACATGGCTGGATCGATCGTCAGGACCGATATCGATCACGCGTCGGGGCATCTCTTATCTAATGACCCTCGTCTATCCTGCTTAGATGGAGGACCCATTCATTCATCCAATATAACTGACAAATTTACCGAATGTTCGTCTTTCTTAAATTTGTTTCGGACTGCGAACACGGGAATGCCCATATGCGATACTTACCCGCAAGGTCTTCCTCCTGCATGTCACTACCGGGAATGACTAGCTCACCTCGAGTGGTCTCAGCCGGAACCCCGAAATTACCAGTCCCGCAGAGGTTACATTTACCAGAATCCTTTGGGTGAGAATAAATGGCCGGGCTTTTGAACTCGAAGGGTGAGAGAACAACCCACGAAGTTGGGATGGACTGCGACGCGTTGATAGAGCCAGACGCCAATGTTTCATGGCTAAGATCAAGAGACTGGGAGGTACGCGGCGAATATAGATGGACAAGGAAGTGGATTGCGTATTGACACGGCCCCTCTAGCACCGTTCTCTTTGGCGCTACATAAATCGTGCACCGTAA